GGCCGCGGGGAGCCCGGCAGCGTCACTTTGGGTGAAATCCCGCGGGGTTTGGCGCTGGTAGGAGCGGGAAAGGGGAGCTCCGGGTGGAGGAATAACTGGAGATTGGCGGGTAAAGGCTTCTCGGAAGGGTGCTGTCAGACCCGTCCTGGGGCGTGCTTCGCTCTGTTGTTTAAAGGGAGTGTGTTACCGTGTGGAACTCGGCAGAAAAAGTTTGGGAGGAGAGGAACAGAGCCCTGGGCCAGGCTGCCCAGAGAGGCTGTGGGGTCTCCTTCTCTGGAGACATTCCAACCCCCCTGGCCACGTTCCTGTGTGATGTGCTCTGGGTGCCCCTGCTCTGGCAGGGGGGTTGGGCTGGGGGGGCTTCCCAGGTCCCTTCCAACCCCTTAGTTCCCTTGTATTTAGCCCGCCGCTTTCTGATGTGTTTGGTAGTGCGTTCCACGCCTGCTTTCTTTGGGGGATTGCTTGTACTGCCTTCCTGGCACGCTCGTATTTGTAAGTGAAGGGGCCAGCAAACGCTGGGAGCTCGGGGTTTGGGATTTTTTTGCAAGCTAAACGCGATTCCTTCTGCTTCCTCCGTGTGTGCCCGCAGAGGTGCACTCGCCGCCCCCGGAGCTGTACCCGGCAGCAGGGCATCCCAGCAGCTGCTCCAGCTCCAGCCTTCCTTTCAGCTGGGGCTCCTTCGTGGCAACCCCCCCATGTCCCCCTTGTTCCGCAGGATACAGCTTTCGCCAGTTGGCTTACGTTAAAATCAAGCCTAAGATGCTCCATGCAGATAAGACAAGGTGTTGTATCTAGGTGTAAGCGTGGAGGAGCGACTGTTGAGGTGAAAATAGTTGTGTGTGGGTTGGAATCCAGCGTGTGTTGGCCCCGAGTCTTTGCAAGGGCTCTGGTGGGTGACAAAACCTCTTGCCCATGTAGAAGTGCTATAACTGGGTTTGCCTGGACACGTGATGGCTGCTCTTGGCACCAGTTCCTGGTTCCTCCAAACACTTGTGCCTTCTGCTTCCCCTCCGCAATTACAGCGTTTATTCAGCGTAAATAATTCCCAGGTTCTGCACAGCCGAGCACGTGGGAATGGCACTGAGATTCTTCTGTTGTACATTGGGAAAAGTTTCTTGAACAGAAACAAGAGAAAAACAGAACTACATTGTTTTACTTCTGCAAATACATAAAGTGTTATTTGGATGAGTAATGGTGATAATCTTTTCCAGGTAAGATTCCTTACATTTGAAGATGCCACGCTTTGGGAATATTGTTGTGATTAAAAGGAATGGGACTGATGGAATTACCTTTCCACTCACTGCAAGTTCTTGTTTATTTGGAAGGTGAGAATCAGTTCAGTACTTGCACACATTGGAACAATATTAGCGATATTGTTCATTCAGCTTACATCTTTAACACATTGGAACAATATTAGCGATATTGTTCATCCAGCTTACATCTTTAGTACTTATTTGCAAAAATGTCTGTTTTATGGATCATCTTCAGGGGAGGGAAGGTGACACTGGGCTGAGGTTAACTATAAGACTAGAAATTTTGTCACTGCTTTTTGTCCTTTCCTTGCCAGAACTACTCTTTTTAAGTTTCTGGCCAAAGGAAATCAGGGGAAGGGACTGTAAATAATACACTGTTGCCAAGCAAGTGATGGTGTTGTTTTATCCGGAGGCAATTTCCAGATAATTGACTAGTGAAAAGAAGAAAGGTTCATGGCTTGTATTTGATCATCTTCACTACACCAATGTTCTTCTCAATTTTCAGTTTTGTTTGGGGTTTTTTTGGGTCTCAGAAACCTCAGTAATGCAAAATATCAGCCAATATCTGGAGTTTAATATTAAAAGTTAGTAAGAACTTAGACCTCTTGCTCCAGTCTTTAAACTCACTTGGACTTGCACACTTAAATGATAGTTTTGAGCTTGATACAGCTATTTTACTTCAATGATAAAATTAATGTACCTGAATTGCATATGTGAGGACTTGGTTAGATGATCTTAAATAAGTGGGCTTCAAATAAAATGTTTTTGCTTCTCTTAAGCTGGGTCTGTTCAGCACTTTGTTGACTGATAGATATCTTAAATAACTGTAACCGTTCAGTCCCGAATCAGCTTCCCTAGTGGAAGTCCCTGGGAAGCCCCCTGGGGTCAGTACTGTCCTTTGGCTCCAGCACGGCTGCTTGGACAAGCTTTGCTCCAAGGTGCAAGCACTGATTTCTGCTGGCTACAGCCATGAGGAGTGTGGAAGTCTGAGCTCCTGTTATGCTTCCCAGTGGTTGAAAGACTTAGGTAGTTAATTTTCTTCATATTGCCAAATGGAAGGAAGTATCATGCTGCTGTAATACTCCTAGCTGAAAAGCTGGCAAGTCACCTAACTCTATAGTAGTCAGATCTTTCTGTCTTCTGTGTGCGTTGAAACTCAACCTGCGTTTCCTCCACAGGAGACCAGAGTGTGACATTCGCATCCAGCTGCCTCAGGTCTCAAAAGAGCATTGTAAAATTGAAGTAAACGAAAACAAGGAGGTAAGATATGTGTGTTTTAATGATGGATGCATTGCATTGCTGCATCTCATCAGGCTACTGAAGTGTCTGTTTTATTTCTAGGCAATATTGACTAATTTAAGTACAGTAAATCCCACCAAGCTGAATGGAAGTTGTTTTCAGCAACCTGTACCTCTGAGGCATGGAGATGTGCTAACTATTATTGATCGTTGTTTCAGGTAGGTGCTGCTGACAGACTGGTCATGTCTTGATCCTAGAGTGTTCTGCAGGCAGAGTGTGCAGGGAGCTTTTTGGGCACAGGCTCTTCCTGCTGGACAAAGATACAGAAGATGGCTGTGGATAAATAGGATAAATTAATGTTCCCTTACCATCCTTGGAAGCAGAAGTTAATCCAGTATATTTCTTTACAGAGTCTTAATCTTCAGGAGGCAGGATAGCTTAAAGATATTTAACACTTTCTTAGAATGTTAAGCTAAACCAATAAAGATGGAATTGTCTACAGAGCTAATTTTTATTTTGTTTGAAGGGTAGTAATTTGTAGGGGAAAATTTAGAAGTACTTTGTAGTTAAAGCTTTTAAAAGTAATATTTTTATATGTCTGGGAATGGACAATTGCTGGGTCATGTATCTTAATGGGAATTGAGTCATCAGCTGTTTGACAAAAAATGGTTGTATTTTAAAATATTTATTCTAGATTTGAATATCCTGTCCAGTCAACTCCAAGAAAGAGGCGTTCCAGATCTCCAAAAGATGAGACACTGCAGGTAATTCGTGGCCTTGGGCTTATTTATTGCAAATACATTGGTATTGGTTAGGGATATGGTATTCCTTTTCCTTGTTCTGTGTTCTTACTGGGAATAGTTTTTCAGCCATAGACTACTTTTCTGTTTGAAAATAAACTCCTTTAGATAAATACTTTTTAAAAAAATTGTAATTTATTAATTTTAGACTGGTAATGGGCTGCTTAATAATCTGTGATGGTATTAATACAGGTAACCCTTTAAAAAATAATCCTTAGCTTTTTTTGAAGAGAGGGAGAGGTACAGGAAATGAAGAGTATGGGCACTCGTTATCCTTGTACTTAAAATACAGAAGGTTGCCCTCGAGAATAGTCTTTTTTGTCTTTGTCAAAAATAATCTAGTGTTCTGTGTGCTACTACACTGATGTGTTGTTGGAATTAATAAATATCAAGCTAAGCCTATCTTTTAATAATTTATTTTCATTAGTTTCTTTTTTTATTCTCAGCAAAGTTTTCTCCCTCAAAGGGAAAAGTGTTGGTTTGTGAGTTTTCTATTGGAAGATTATTTTTAATGTTATAGTTCTCTTATTTAAATTAAAATCTTCCCCTAGGTCTGGCCAGGTGAGATCCAGATGTGCTTGTGTAGATTGTTATGTTATGGCCACTTTTAGGGCTAATATTTTAATGAGAAAACTAGTCTTAAACTCATGTCACATAGAGCTTCACGTGTGTCTTGCTCAATGTTCTTCAATTTTGAAATATTCAAGGATTTCATTTAAATACTCTTAAACCTGTTGAGTAAACAGTGCATCTACTATAAATCTGGTGGTTTTCAATATGCAGTTGAAACCTAAACTGTAAAACACTTGTTGCTCTGCTGTAAT